ATGTTGTTGCTGGCGGGGGGGGGAGCCCGGCAGCTGGGAGCCGCACAGGGCTCACTGCCATTGCTGCTGGAGGCTTGGGGGGAGAAGGCTTGGTGGGCGGGCTGGCCGGCCGCTCAGACCTTGCTGCTGTGGGGGGGGGAAACGTGGCAGGCCCAACAGCTGGAAGCCGTGCGGGTCTCGCCATTGGTGCCAGGGGGTGGGGGGAAGGCTTGGTGGTTCCGGCGGGAGCCACATGGGCCTCACCATTGGTGCTGGGGGAAAGGGGGGAGGCTTACCTGTGGCTGCTTCCTCCTCCTCCTCCGCATGGAGCTCCCCCCCCCCCGCAAGTATCGCGGGTCCTCCTTCTTGTCCTATCTAATTTGTTTTTGGTTTTATTTATACCAACAAGAATTTTGGATCCTCTATCCATTTAAGCTTAAAAGAGACAAATGTAACGGGTGAAGTATTTCCTAAAATTGCATCTCATCCTTTGGAAGTGCAGCTTCTCATTGACAATTTTGAAAGGCATACAAGTCCCACCAGAAAAGGATCAGTCTTGGCTAGCTGCTTTTCTCCCTTTCTAGGCAAAAGCCATTATGACTTAAACCACTGCATCTGGCTTTCTTTCTGTGTGGCTGAAGCACCCTGTAGCTACCAGAAGAAGAAATGCCCTTGTGAGGGTGAAGAAGTGGGGAACAATTGCTGCACAATACACTTCTCCACCCTTGCTCCTTGGTGGTTTATTCTGAAACCTCTGTAGCAAGTGTCATCTAATGACCAGATGCATAGGTAGTCACTACAAGGAGGTAGAGTGTTGCATCAAAGCAGGCACAGCTGCCTTAAATCGTAATTCAAGTGTTCAGGGAGGCTTGATAGTTGGAAGAATGAACTTAACAAGCAGAAACCCCCGCAGAAGGAGGGCCATGAGGCTCTGTCTTGTGCTTTGCTGGGTGAAGGCGCCTTTCCACCCGTTCCCTTCTCTGCAGGGCCGCCCAACGCAGCATCTCGCCCTCAGCTCATCATGAAGTGTGGCCTCTCATGCGAGCGATTTCTTTGGTCAGTAAACTCTTCTCGATCAGCATATGCCTGTGTCTTCTTTTCATCTATGTTCTTTCAACACTATTCCTGGAGAAACTCAACTGAACAGTGTCTAAATGAAAACAGTATACAACTCAGGTGTAAATTAACAATCAAGGCAGTCCTAACTGTTTTTAGTGCTCAAATACTCTAGAAAAGAATGTAGATAAATGCAACATTTACACAAACTTCAAAGACTGCCATGTTGTTTTTCAACTTTTCTGCGAACACGCTATTGTGAAAACTCATAACTTATCTTTTCAAGAATGCGAACCTTTGCAGGCTGTGTTTGCCAAACATCTGTGCCCCAATGTACTAAAGGTACATTCAAGGCAGTTGTCTGACATATTGATTCATTTTCCAACTTATCAAGATGAAGTAACACCACTGAAAGCTTGTTTCAAGACTTACATTGAGGATGAAATGGATTTCACAAAGGCAATATGTACTGAGATATCTTGAGCTAGAAGAATTTGAATATTTTCAAGTTGGAGTAGACATCCTCAGCACTTCACTCACTGTACACCTTGATGTTTCTGAAAAGCCTGTTGCTTCCAGCATTGAGGACATGATTGTCCAAGCCAGTTTTGTTTTAGCTACCTTAGCAGATATTGAAAACAAGGAAACCAACAATAAAAATTTCTTCAAATACATTAGAAGAAGGAAACCAGTCAGGGAGGCAGTGGGGCCCTTGGATGACCAAGGGGTAAAAGGAGTACTGAAGGATGATAGGGAAATGGCTGAGAAGCTAAATGCATTTTTGGCCTCTGTCTTCACTGAAGAAGATGAGAAGATGCTTGCCCACTCCAGAACCACTGATTTCAGGGGTGTTGAAAGACCTGAGTCAGATTGAGGGGACGAGAGAGGAGGTCCTAAAACTGATAGACAACTTAAAAACTGATAAATCACCAGGCCCAGATGGCATACATCCGAGAGTTCTGAAAGAACTTAAATGTGAACTTGTGGATTTCCTGACAAAAATATGTAATCTTTCCTTAAAATCTGCCTCCATTCCTGAGGACTGGAAGGTAGCTAATGTCACTCCCATCTTTAAAAAGGGTTCCAGAGGAGATCCGGGAAATTACAGGCCAGTCAGTCTGACGTCGATACCGGGTAAATTGGTGGAAACCATTATTAAGGAAAGAATTAGTAGGCACATAGATGAACAAAACCTATTGAGGCAGACTCAGCACGGTTTCTGTAAGGGAAGATCTTGTCTCACTAACCTGTTAATGTTCTTTGAGGGGGTGAACAAACATGTGGACAAGGGGGATCCAATAGATATTATTTACCTTGACTTCCAGAAAGCTTTTGATAAAGTTCCTCATCAAAGGCTCCTAAGTAAGCTCAAAAATCATGGGATAGAAGGACAAGTTCTTTTATGGATCAAAAACTGGCTAGTTCATAGAAAACAGAGAGTGAGTGTAGGTGGGCAATTTTCTCAGTGGAGGGTGGTAAGCAGTGGGGTACCGCAGGGATCAGTACTTGGTCCACTGCTTTTTAACTTGTTCATTAATGATTTGGAGATGGGAGTAAGCAGTGAAGTGGCTAAATTTGCGGATGATACGAAGTTGTTCAGGGTGGTGAAAACCAGTGAGGATTGTGAGGCACTCCAAGGGGATCTGTCAAGGATGGGCGAGTGGGCGTCAACATGGCAAATGGGGTTCAATGTGGCCAAGTGCAAGGTGATGCACATTGGAGCCAAAAATCCTAAATATAAATACACATTGATGGGGTCTGAACTGGCAGAGACTGATCAAGAGAGAGATCTTGGAGTTGTAGTAGATAACTCACTGAAAATGTCGAGACAGTGTGTGACTGCAATAAAGAAGGCCAATGCTATGCTGGGGATTATTAGGAAGGGTATTGAAAACAGATCAGCCAGTATCATAATGCCCCTATATAAATCAATGGTGCGACCTCATTTGGAATACTGTGTGCAGTTCTGGTCACCACACCTTAAAAAGGATATTATAGCTTTGGAAAAAGTGCAGAAAAGGGCAACTCAAATGATAAAAGGGTTGGAACACTTTCCCTATGAGGAAAGGTTAAAGCGCTTAGGGCTCTTTAGCTTGGAGAAACTATGACTGAGGGGTGACATGATTGAGGTTTATAAGATTATGCATGGGATAGAGCAGGTAGAGAAAGAGGTACTTTTCTCCCTTTCTCACAATACAAGAACTCGTGGGCACTCAATGAAATTGCTGAGCGGTCAGGTTAGAACGGACAAAAGGAAGTACTTCTTCACCCAAAGAGTGATTAACACATGGAATTCACTGCCACAGGAAGTGGTGGCAGCTACAAGCATGGACAGCTTCAAAAGGGAATTAGATAAGCATATGGAGCAGAGGTCCATCAGTGGCTATTAGCCACAAGGTATAGATAGGGACTCTGGGGCTAGTGATGCTCTGTATTCTTGGTGCTTGGGGGGGGTCAACAGTGGGAGGGCTTCTAATGTCCTGGTCCCACTGGTGGACCTCCTGATGGCACCTGGTATTTTTGGCCACTGTGTGACAGAGTGTTGGACTGGATGGGCCTTTGGCCTGATCCAACATTGGCGTCTCTTATGTTCTTATGTTTAAGGAATCCTCTCAGCTTTCTCCACATCTTTCACAAGGCCAGAAAAGGAGTCCTGCATTACAAAGAAGCAAGTGGGACATCCTGATTTCCAGCACAGGTGTTACAATCCCAAAGCTGGCCAGAACTACTGCAGAGGATGCTACAGCTATGGAGGAAGTTGTGCCCACTCACCCTGATTACACTGAGTTTCATTCGTTGTTCTTTGGAGCAGTTTCATCCAAGGAGCAAGATACCACTCACGCATTTCACAGTTTGGCAACAGCAAGTGACACTGAAGAGGATTTTTGCAGTGGACAACTTTCCCAATCATTTTAGTGGTACAAAGTATCTATCTGCTGATAGTGATGGATAATCATTAAACAGTATTCAGATGCCAACACAGAGCCAAGTTGTGCTCCTCTTATTATTAGGTTTATTAAAAACACTGGATCCCTATTTCATGATGTTACTAGAAGCTTCTGGACTATGTATTATCACTTATAAAGTCAGTCATTCCAATCAGATTATATACTTCATATACATATTTTGCCATGTTTGCCTTTACAAGCAGGTACTGCAATGCTTGATTACCTTTTCACCACTGGAGAACTTAAGGGGACAGACCCAGGTTAGTTCCACCCCTTAATCAAAAATTGAAAGACCCAGGTTAGTTCCACCCCTTAATCAAAAATTGAAAGATGAGCTTCATTCAAACTGCTGTTCAAGTGAATTTTGCAGTATGCAGGCAGCAAGATGGGAGTGGATTAGAAACCTTCCCCCTCCTTTCAGAACTGCATAGAATCTTCCAGCAGAGAATACATTTGGCTGTTTCAACCCTGGTAACAAGCAGTTACCCACAGCAACCTAACAAAGAGCAACTAGTCACATACTGCTCTGTGAGCTCCACTTTTCTTTAAGTTGTACTTCCTTTAAACCCCCAGAGGGAACAAGAATAAGTTCTGCACTGCCATTGTAATTTCAATGTGGCGAAACAAAATCAGTTAATACAGGGGCAGAAAAGCATGCAGGCCTGGTAGATTGTCATGGTTTACTGTATGTTAGGCGAAATGGCTGTTTAAACTTTGCATTGCATTTGCACACCTTCTACAATAAAAGAGTTGACATTTTTTAAAAGGGGGGGAGAAGGCGGGCCATGTGCTCGACCCTGAGGGCTTGGTTTTGTGACATTTTTCACACCAATCCCTCTGCCGACCCTTATGTGGTGCAAGCAGTCCTACGACCGGGAACCGGAACTGTAGATACAAAATCACGGAGTTTGTAGCCCTTAAGGCGCGAAGAACGACCACGCTATTCTCAGGCCAGACGCCCTCTAAACCCCCTCCAAGGGCACGCCAGTGCTAACAGACGGTGGCCAATCCCTTGCCGCTATCGCGACCCCCAAGCCAATCCAACAACGCCTACAAGGTCCCGCCCGCGAGACAGCCAATCGACGAAATGCTCCCCAGCCACCATCCTCCCCCCCCCCATCACGCCAAGCTCAATTAGGTAAGGGTGTACAGCCGGCCGCAGTTTCAACTTGAATTACGGGCTCTGCTGAGGGACAAAAAGCCGCAGCTTCAGAAACGGATTTCGCTTCGCTGTTCTGCCTCTCTCCCCCCACCCCGCCGATTTTCTTAAAAATATCTGACGGCCAGAGCGTGAGGTTTTCCTTACATTAGTCACTTGCACTGATTCGCAGGTAACGAAGCGTCCCTTTCCCCGCTCACCATCTCGCCATAGTCGGCCCAATATCACTCGCTTCTGTGTCACCTATAACGCAGGATCCGAGACGCGCTTCCCCCCCAAGTTCCGAGTTCAACCACTCGCCTCAGGACGCGGCTGAGGCGAAGCGTGTCCCGCGCTGCCCTTACCTGGCTCGGGCCGAGAGGGACGCCAAGCAAGGCGACACGAGGCGACTGGAGTGAAAGAGAGCCATGGCCGGCGTGTGCTACCTGCCTGTCTGCCTTCGCCTGGCGCTCGAGCCCGGGGAAGAGGCGGGGCTCGGCGTTGGGCGAGACTGGAGGCTCCACAGCTCCATCGCCAGGCCGGACGGACCCGTCGCAAGGAGGCGGGGCTCGAGCTCGGCGGGCGGCGCTCGGAAGATTCGGCACGAAGACGGGAGCTGCTGGGGGATATTCATTTATTTCGCTTATTGATAGGCCGCCTTTCTCGTGGAGACGCGAGGCGGGTTACAGAGCAGAGAGGAAGAGAAAAGCAACGTATAGTGTAGGAGGTCGGGGGTGCCAGCCTCCGGGTGGGACCTGGTGATCCCCTGGAATTACAGCTCATCTCCAGACGACAGACATCAGTTCCCCTGGAGAAAATGGATGCTTTGGAGGGTGGACTCTGTGGCATTATAGCCCGCTGAGGCCCCATCCCCAAATCTCCACGACTTTCCCAACCTGGATCTGGTAACCCTTAAACCCCACCCCCACCCCAATCCTGGCAACCCTAGTCAGGGTTTATTTCTCCTTCAAGTTGGAGCTGACTTGTGGCAATCCTGCAGGGTACTCAAGGCAAGAGACATTCAGAGGTAGTTTGTCGTTGACTGCCTCTAGGTAGTATCCCTGGTATTCCTTGGTGGTCTTCTATCCAAATACTGCCCAGGGCCAATCCTGCTTAGTTTCTGAGAAGTTATGAGACTGGTCTATCCTGTGCTGTCCAGGTCAGGGAACAATAGGACTAGCAGTACAAGACTGAATGACGATGCCATCAACAAGGTGATCATATAGAACAGCGGTTCTCAACCTGTGGGTCGCGACCCCTTTGGGGGTCAAACAACCCTTTCACAGCGGTCGCCTAAGACCATCGGAAAACACAAATTTTAGATGGTCTTAGGATAGGGCTCCCAAGTCTTGCCAAATCGCGGCGGGGGATCACATCCTGCATATCAGATATTTACATTACGATTCATAACAGTAGCAAAATTACAGTTATGAAGTTGCAACGAAAATAATTTTATGGTTGGGGGTCACTACAACATGAGGAATTGTAATAAAGGGTCGAGGCATTAGGAAGGTTGAGAACCACTGATATAGAAGAAGAAGAGTTGGTTTTTTACCCCGCTTTTCTCAATCCTGAGGAGTCTCAAAGCAGCTTACAATCAATTTCCCTTCCTCTCCTCACAACAGGCACCTTGTGAGATAGGTGGGACTGAGAGAGTTCCAAGAGAACTGTGACTGGCTCAAGGTCACCACTTTGAATGAACAATGCAATAGGATACAGGAGTACAAAACTGAATGACAATGGCAGCAACATAGTGAACATATGCAATTAACATGCCATAGGGATAGGATAGAATACAAAATGAAATGATAATGTGAACAGCTAGCTGCTCAGGCCAGCATAGTGTGAGTTGTGCAGAATATAGGATGATGCAGCAATGCAGTATCCATCTCCCACTCCCATATGAAAGTGCCCTTCTGGACAGTTCAGTCTCACTCCCACTATGCATCAATTCTGTTACAAGAATCCCTCCCTGTGCGTAAGAATATAAGTAGAGCCCTGGTGGATCAGACCCAATGGTCAATCTAGTTCAATTTCATGTATCACAAAGTGGCTAGCCAATTACTTTGTAGGGCCAACAACAGAACATCACTACAGAAAGGTCTCTGGAGGCCTCACCAATATGCAATGCCTATTCATTATCCCTCAGGAATCTCAGCGAGGCCCCCCTCAAATTCCAGGACATTCCTGGACAAATCCCTCCTTTCCTTTGCTTAACTCCTCCCTCCTTCCCCTCTTCTGTAATTTCTGTGTTAACAATGAGCAAATGATTTTTCTTTTTGTGTATCTGAGGAAGTGAGATCTTTTTTCCCCACAATTTTTTATTGAATTCAAAGATTTTGAACATTAAACATTACAAAGGAAAAACAACTTCATTTTTAACATTTTCACATTATGAACAATAAGTATTGTACATGTTACCATTCCAAATTGAAACAAGGTAAGTATTAGTAATTACCATACAAGCCACACTAATTGTAAGACTGCCTAGATCATCTAAGGAATTTTGGAATTACAGAGGTGTATTAAAGATTAAAGTTACAAGAATCTTTACTACTGTGTATATAAATTTTTATTTAAACAAAATTTAGTTTGAAGTGAGAGGAGTGAGATCTCACAGAAGTTCATACCGGAATAAATGTTGTTAGTCTTTAAAGTACAAACTTTTGTTTTGTTTTACTACAATAGACTAACACAGCTATCCCACTGAAAATATCTCAAAGATTAACAAAATTTATTCCAGCATAAGCATTCCTGAATCAGAGCTCACTTCCTCAGAGGCGAGAATATCGTTATCTTTCAAGGCACTACTGGACTTTCATTTCATTTTTGCTGCGATAAACTAGCACATGTAGCTAGCAGAGTTCTAGATGGGAAGCCCTGTTAATCTGTCACAGCAAAATAAATCAGGAGTTTTATTCCGATATGACAGTTTGTGAATCAGAGCTTACTTCATCAGATGCATTGAAGTGTACATCCATTAGGCAGATTCATCTATTTAGATTATTTATACCCCAGTTTTCTCATTATGGGGACCTAAAGCAATTTATGATGTGATTCTCCCCTCCCTCTCCCTTAAAACAATTTGTAATGTCATTCCCCTCTCCTTCTGTCTTTATCCTCACAACAACCTTGTGAGGAAAGTGAGAGAGAGAAAGTGACTGACCTAAGGCTACCCACCAAGTTTCCATAGCAGAGTGGGGATTCAAACCTGGGTCTCCCAGATCTTAGTCCAATCACTACATCAAAGGAAGCAAGCTCTGGCTCAAAAAAGCATATGCTGGAATAAATGTTAGACTATAGCAGTGAAGTAAGTAACTGCCCCCAAAACCCTACATATGGAGATGCTGGAGAGTCAGCAAACAGAAGGGGGGTTAGTATTTGGGGCTCAGCACATTTGTAACAAGCCAAGCCCCTGTGGCATTGGTCAGAGAATCATCTCAGTCCCTTATGCCACGTACAGTGGTTGGGCATACCCAGGGGTCCTTTCATGCAGGAGTGCACAGGGGCGGAGCTCCAGCAGTAAGAAGCCCAGGGGGCAGGCACATGCAACAAGCCCCACCCCCTGCTCCCAGCAGCCCTCAGTTGGGCTACGAGGAGCAAGAAGCAGCCAGGTAAGTTGCAGAGACTCCCCGGCCTGCCTTCAGGTACAAGCTCTCCCTCCTCTGTGAGGGCAGATCTGCATGTCCCCCCCCCATAGCTAGCAATCCAAAACAGTCCAGTGGCACCTTTAAGACCCACGTTTTATTTAGGTACAAACTCTTCCTCTATGAGGACAGATCTGCACGTCCCCCCTCCCCCCCAATAGCTAGCAATCCAAAACAGTCCAGTGGAGCCTGAGTGGTGGGTGTTGCCTTCTGACACACTTCTGGTGATGTCAGGGGGTGTGGCATATGCAAATAAGTTATGGTAATAAGTTATGCTAATGAGCTCCTGCAGCTCTTTTTCTACGAAATGACCCCTGGGCATACCACTGTTCAACATATGTGCCAGTGGTTGCCTAGTCCTGGTCTGCAACAGACTAACAGCGCTACCGCTCTGGAATTATTTATTTACTTAATGCATCCTTATCCCTTCTTTCACATATAACAGCTGTGGGGAGTGGAAGGTTCAGATGGTCCAAGATAGAATTGATATATCAGCAAGGAACAGCACCCAGTACCACCCCAGGAGGAGGATTTGGCCTGGAGGAAAAGGGCAGATTGGTGGTGGCCATTGTTTCTCTCTCCTCTTTCTGACTGCCACTGATCCCTTGCCTGCCCTCTCCCTCTGGGCCCAGTCCCCACTTTGGAAAGGTGAAAACAGGCAGGAGCAGCCAGGAAGAAGAGAGACAGCAGCTGCCAATGTCTACTCAGGGCTGGCCCACCCATAAAAAAATTTAGGCATTTGCCTAGGGGCCTCATGGAAGGGTGCCCTGGGCTCTGTCTGGGAGTTTTCAGCAATATTTCTGGGCGGGAAGGGAGTCCCAGATTCTTCCGGGAAAGGAGGCTGCATGTGGGCCCCCTCCCTCCCTCCCATGCCCAAGGGCTTCTTGCTCCATCCCCAGCAAGAGACTCCCCTCTTTGCAGCCCCCCAGACAGAAAGAGAAGGCGGCAGGTGGGACAGGCATGGGGAGCAGCCCTGGGGGAGGGGGTGCCAGAAGGTATCCTCGCCTAGTGGGGGGGGGGCAGAAGGTATCCTTACCTAGTGGGGGGAAAAACCTGGGGCCGGCCCTGTGCCTGCTGATACTGAAATGTTGTTTTAAAAGATATGAATGCAAAAAAGGTGTATAAATGTAACCCTTTGTGCGATTCATAAGAATGCCAGTTATTTGTGATTTTGGCCACTGGGCTCATTAAAAGGCTGTGAATTTAGGGGTGGGAGCAGTGGCGCAGGCTGCAAAAACGGCTGCTGTAACATCAATGAACAGCCACTATGGCTGTTTGAGACCCACCGCGGCTGGGGTGAGCTCCCTGCCCTAGTCCCAGCTCCCGCCCACCCAGCAGTTCGAAAGCATTAAATAGCAAGTAGATAAATTGGGTACCTGCCCTTAGGTGGCAGGGGGCACCCTTCTCCTCATGAGGTGTGCAGCAGGAGCATCGATGGCGGCGGTGGGGCGGCGGAAGCGGTGCGATGTACGAGCAGCCCTGGCGACCCAGTAAGCACGACGTCAAGCAACGGAGTCCGGTGGAGGCGGAGTCGTGGCGGCGCGGTGACGTGGCGGCACAGCGGAGCCAGTAGGACGTAAGCCAGAGCTGCAGCTGGCGCGCGGCCCGCACCAGGATGGGCCCACCGGAGGAAGCCGCTGGACTGAAAAAGACCTGTTCCAAGGTGGAACGCCGACACCCGAAGCCCGCTTGAAAAAAAAGAAGCCAGATAACAACAAGCCCTGCTGCCTGGGTGCTGGTAGGAAGTCACTTCCCTATATAATGTGGCCCCAGATAGGAATGGAAAAATTGTATGTAAACCGCTCAGAGACCCTTCGGGGTTAGAGCGGTATATAAACTGAATGTTAAATAA